TGCTGATATGTGTCTTATTTTTGTTTTAGATTGGTTTGGTCTTTGACACACAAAAGACTTGGTTTACCCTTGCTTTTTGGGGGGCGATGTCTTGGTCCTAAAGGCATAGCAGGAGCTTGCTAATGGTTTTCTTCTCTTTTTAGGGTTGTCATGGTCCTTAAAACAAAGACAAACTTTCTATCGTTTGATATTTTAGGTTGTGTTAATCAAAGAGGAATCTTGCAAGTAATGTTATTCATGGTTTCGTGGTTTGTATTGTCTTGATTATCTAAATTATGTTTTCTCGATGCAAAGTCGCGTCGTTTTTCTCCTAGTCGCTTTAACAGAATTTGTTTTATGTAACGGTTTCATTTATTGAACCCATAGGGTGACTGAGACATAGAAATATGGTCACCTTGGTCCTCTTCAGACCGGCAGTAATCTCCTTGCTAAAGTGGGACGTACGTTTTGCTATGTGGGAAGTATAAATAGGCAGCCACTTTAGGTAAGAATGGGGATGTTAAGTCCGATGCCTCGTGTAGAGAGATTGCTACAATCTCTGAACGTCAAAGAACCCTTGTAACAACTCATTGAAGGGTCCATAGGATGCCTGTTGCAAGGCAAACATTCTGTTTCTAATCCATTTTTTCAAGTGACAGTCCAAGTTTCTCGCCCGTTCACCTTGCAACACCTACATATTGTACTATTTGTATATAGTTTCTCGTTCTGAATATTCATGACAGAATTTTCCACTGAACGTTAATTAAGCAACAATCAATCAATCAATCCTTTATTTATGTTTTGGTTATAGTATTTGCATGATGAAAACAGATCGTTATCACGGCGATCATAAAAAGGTTATAAATCGGATAAAGTTGACCCCTTCACTCTGCGATAGATTAAAAGGGGTGCTTAAGGAGCATAGATTGAACGTCCTTCACTCATTGGTAGATTAGAATGGGTGCCTTAAAGGAGCATAGATTGAACATCCTTCACTCCGCGATAAATTAAAAGGGTTGTCTTACAGGAGTAGATTGAACGTCCTTCGCTCTGTCATAGATTAAAAGGCGCGCATTAAAGGAGATTTTATTGTACGTTCCAGGTAATTAAGATTTCTCTTAGTTTAATGGCAGTGTTAACATGAAACAACTATGTGTTTCTATTACTGGATACATTCATGATACTATCATATCTGTGATTACTTCGGATTACGCTGAAGTGTACGTATAAAAAAGGAGATGTTATATGGTTGCGAAGGAGATATTTATCCACCAGTGTCCAAATGATGTAGAAGTAAGCAACTATAGGTCACCGTACGGCCTTCAACAATGAGCAAAACACATACCGTATAATCAGCTATAAAAATCCCATATATAACAAAATGTGAAACAATTTATACGAGATAAGAGTCTGATTCATGACATAACAATTAACGAAAAGCAAACATGACAGACAGCAACCAACAACAACCACTGAATATTAGCTATCCAAGTAACTAACGCTAAGTATATTCGTTTGTCCAGAAAGGTTTAAGAATGCATGAAATGTGTAATATATAGATATTGCCTTGTTAGGCCATCAAAGATCATAATTGAGCAAAGCTAATCGATTTTTGATATGTCTACAAACTATATATGATAAGTTATGGACAGACATGTTTACTGCTTTTCCATAGATTTTTACGACCCTTTTGCCACATTGATTTCTGATATTTCTTTACCCACATGTTACAAGATATTTGACACGGTTTTATTTGAAATCGATATCAACTCCTACTTCATGTCAGCAGATTTTATTTCTAAGTGATCAACATGAGTTTTAATGAGAGTAAATGAGTGCCTATTTGATGCAAAATTCAAATCTGTAATTTATTACTTTGTATTGAATGCCTCTATTATTTTTCATTAAATATAATTTTAGAGGAAACTTAATTTCCTAATTATATTATCTTATTTCATATTGTTGCGAACCTTTTGCACTTTGCAGCCGCATTAAGAACAATAAGTCATTTTTCATTTAATTTAATAACTGTTGCAACTGACAAGATTAGTGACAAAAGAAACGAGAAAATTTTCTAAAATTACTTTATTAAACATTTTTCTTCGTCTTTCTTTCAAACTTCTAAATAATTATAAATCTATTTTAAGCAAAGTTAGAGAAAATTTCCCCGTCAATACTTTAATCTGATTAACGACAAATGAATAAACTGAAAATAATTGTTACTTCAACAAACCAATTCGTCGCAGATTGTATGATCGCTTATCTTAAAATATATCAATAAAAAAAGAATAGATAATTAGTGTTGGGGTGGAGTCTTATTACTGTCGTTGATTATTTTTGGTAAAATGATTATTAATTATGCCATTTTGTTGAATTGTACATTAAGAGTTTTTGTTTCATCTCGGAAAAGAGAAAATAACAATAAGCAGTCCGAAATTTATTTTATCAAAATTAGATAGTAAACAACAATAAAACGACATCAACAAAAACAGGTGTGTTAATGAAAACTAAAATTCGATGAAATTAAGTAATTTTCTATTTTTAAACCACTGTTATTGTAACTACGGAGCAGCGATCCTACAAGAACGGGTTCAAGCAACAGTGCTGAACATTGCTTATGTTCCCATTGAAGAACTGCGTACACGATACTAATCACCCATATTTAGAATAAACGCATTCAACCTCTTTTAAAAATTATCTAAATGTTTCTTCAGCAAGTTTGTCTAGATTTCAACCTTTATCAACAAGAAGTCTCTTAACGTCGATTTGCTTTACAAAAGATTTTTATCGTGTCTGAGGCAGTACTCGCTCAGAATAGCTGTATTACAGAATTTTTGTCAGGAATCTTTAAAGCTTCACGATTTCAATATTAGTTATTTATGATGACCGAACAATAACTTCAAGTTTGACACGATTTGGTGTTAAATGGAGTATAAACATACAAATTGGTCTGCTCGACAGTTTCGGCCCATGCCACATTTAGTACGATCTCATAGTAATTCAAAATGTGATCATCGCATGAATTTTGGTATTTCATCAGCAGTCCAGTTTAAGAGTTACAAGCATCGAACGCGTCACCTTTCATTTGTTGTACATTTTTCTACATTCTACTTTAGCGCGAGCACGGATTGCTAACAATTCAACCATCCTCGGAGACAGCGGATTGCTAACAATTCAACCATCCTAGGAGACAGCGGATTGCTAACAATTCAACCATCCTAGGAGACAGCGGATTGCTAACAATTCAACCATCCTAGGAGACAGCGGATTGCTAACAATTCAACCATCCTAGGAGACAGCGGATTGCTAACAATTCAACCATCCTCGGAGACAGCGGATTGCTAACAATTCAACCATCCTAGGAGACAGCGGATTGCTAACAATTCAACCATCCTCGGAGACAGCGGATTGCCAACAATTCAACCATCCTAGGAGACAGCGGATTGCTAACAATTCAGCCATCCTAGGAGACAGCGGATTGCTAACAATTCAACCATCCTCGGAGACAGCGGATTGCTAACAATTCAACCATCCACTGAGACAGCGGATTGCTAACAATTCAACCATCCACGGAGACAGCGGATTGCTAACAATTCAACCATCCTCGGAGACAGCGGATTGCTAACAATTCAACCATCCACGGAGACAGGATTTCAATATCAAAGCATCAGATTGCAAACAGTAGGACAAAGACCGAAAAATTCGAAATGAAAAATAAACATTTATTAACTTTTTTGTGCCATGAGTATGACTGTTATACTTCAACAATTAGTCCAGTTTTTATTTGATTCGCTACGCCAATATATGTCCATGAATCTCGCTATGTTACATTCATTTTATGCAGAAATATTCATAATTATTAATGTCTATTACATCGAACTAGATGTTGCATGTATATTTGTATATACTGCCGTTATAACTATGTGACCAGGAACAATTTATTTGCCACCATTGATATGCTAGAACTTGTTCTAATTAAGTCAATTCCATGCACTGGCAGATGCATTCTTTTAACTCATACTGCACCTCGGCAAGGTTAAAAAGATCCACTGAAAATATTACTACAAAAGTTTGACTGTCGTAATCATTGCAGTGGCACAGTTTCTAACCCACTTGTGAGATTTCAACTCTATCCCAGATCCTACATGTACGCTTTGTTTATATATGACGTTATTACTTGTTTAGTTTTGTCATGTTCCTGTATTCGACGTTAACTTAGATATGACGCGCTCTTTTCATCATTTGATGTTTAAAACAGTGTTAAAATGCTGCATTCAAAGAATGAAATGTTGACGCGCTCTGTCTCGATATTTTTTTTTTTCACTTTCAATTCTGTTTATTCATAATATGATATTTTAATGCTTGGGCATAACAGATATTTACGGAAAATCAGTGCAATGCATTTATACATGTAATAATGAACAGAAATAAAATAAATGACGCCTTCAATTATTCATTTTAAAGCAGGTGCGTGTTGATATTTTAATAAACACCTCAGATTGGATAGAAAGTTAGGAAATGAAAATAACTCTATATAAATTTCGTGTGTCTGTAGCGATTTTCTTGATTTGCCTTCACCAGGAATGCTAAAACCTAAATATTTGAAATTCATGGATGTATGAATACGTCGAAACGTTGTGAACTATATGACCAAAAGATTTGAAAATATTATGACGAAACAAGTACTGTTCAAAACAAATGGCCAAAGAAAATGATGATCCCAATAAACTGGCACTAAAAAGTATATTGTAAAGTCGTAATTATAAAAAAAAAAAAAAAAACATAATGAGAAAAAAAGAAAATAAATGAAAATAATAAAACAAAAACGTTATGCTGAGTTTCATACAATTGACTTTAAATTTCCGCAATTTTCTTCTTCATAAAATTATAACAGTTTTCTAATTATACTGTAGACATACATATATATATTAATTGAACAATTGTAATGTAAATAGTTAAATAAACTTATAAAAATTTTAATTTCTTAATACAAATGGAATATTAATGAGACAGAAACTTACCTGATCTTTAACGTGATGTTCCTTTCTTCACATGAACAAGTGTGATCATTATATTAGCTTTTGTCAGTTATGCTACTTAGTTACAACGCAAGGGATTCCGTATCACAAATCTTTAACCAATTTAACAGAAGAGAAATGCACATCAATTCTCAACTGGCATGATCAGATTCATTCTTCTTATGCACGACTTCAGCAAATTTTATACTAATATTAATCCAGAAGAAAAGATTTAATGTTTATTTGTAATTATCTCTGTTGATGTTGATGTCAGAAATTTATTTCAGGAAAGTTTATTCTGCAGTATTATCGTTTAATCTAGGATTATCTTGATTATATTTGGAAATTCCATCTTCAAACACTAATTAATTCTATATTAAGTTTTCAATATAAAAAACATTTCCTTCAAAGTTTAACAAGGACTTAGTTGGTAGCTCTTTGTCCTTTGTCCATAAATAAATACATGATACTAATATAAAATCTTTGGTGGTATCACAGGAGATATAATATATATATATATATATATATATATATATATATGCTTATCGTCCAGTGGCAAATATGACATTCATATTCAAACGATAACGTGTATGTATTTGAAAAAGTACCTACACTGTAATATATTGGCATGCTACGTAGTATATTTCAAGTGCTATAGCTATAATATGCAACAGTGTGTAGGAAGACATGTCACCCTAATCGGACACAGAATTCTTCTTCCCAACTGACCAGTCTTTTCTCTTACTCCTAAATGCTAAGTTTATCGCAACAAATTTAAGTTGAAACAAAATTTATAGAACATGGTTTTTCACGACCTCCCGAATATGTCATATTCATTGAATGTAATTTAAAAAAAAAATGCTAAGATTTATATTTTTAATAATAAAAAATGGTACTTAAAAGTCATATTTTGGGAATGACTATTTGTTTGGAGTATTGTCTTTTAATGAGTTATTAATAAATTTAGTTTTGTTCAAATTTTCCTTTTTTGTGACGAAAATCAGTCTGCGTTTTAAATATGTATTGTTAAAATATTCTTAGTTTTACTTCTTGTTTTCTTTAGAGGAACTGTTTGACCTATGTTCGGTCTGATTGGGACGTTAAATAAAATACATGTATGGGTTTTGCCTGTCTCTCTATATGTAAAAACCGAAAAAAAAAATGGCTGAAAGGAGATTTGGAGTGTTGAGACTGATTGGATATATTAAATATTGGCGTGTATACCATGCAGTCTGCACGTATATAAGATCCCTTACAACATAGGGGCGTACTTTTCGTTGTGCACTATTTTTAAATACAAACATAACCTGTCTAGTAGGGAACTCCGTGATGCATGAGTGACCATAATAGATATAGAATGTTCTGTGTTTAACAGCACCAGATATTTATCGTTATTTGGAGAATCGGATGTTCGTGGCAGATCTTTGATTTGTTTTTGTCTAATTCATTAACAACAGTTAAGGACTCAGGACGATATTTTTAATACACCTGTCTATTGTTGAAGATCAATGTTGTCCTCCAGATGCCTCTTGTTAAGTTTGTCAATGGGTTGATGTCTCGTAGACATATACTGATATCTCGTTGTATTCAGTCAATTAGCAATTGATGCAATAACAAGCACTTGGAATTATATTCCACGAATCAGGTCATTATGTATAGATATGCATATACGTTTGAAGTTTAATTTGTACATTTGTTCTTCTATGTTCTAATATTAGTTCAGTGTAGATTGTCATTTTATATCTGATTTAAAAGTTTGACCAGGTTTGTAAAATTTTTTCGTGTATTATAATAACAAAATTCCCCGATAACAACCTGAAAAGATAACTGTAATCTAATTACAGACAAAACTTGAACGATGCATTTTGTTTATTTATTAAGTACAGCGTTCTCTATATCGTGTAATTAACAAGAATGTCTTTCAACCATGATGTAAAATAAAAGGCTGTGCACATTAAATCTAATATCGTTATCATTAACTGGTTATATTTTGACCAAAGCTATGGTAATGTTCACCTTGTTTTATGTATTGCTATTAAAGACGGAGAATCTGAATGCCTATGAGATATTGGACATTCGTTGACCTAGAGTTATTTACATCCTTGTCATTTAGTCACTTGTCTCATTGGCAATCATACCACATCTCCTTCATTATATGATAGGTGATTAATGTTTCCAACTTCCTTAGGATAAATATGCAATAATGAACACAAAAGACAAACCACAAATATCGTCGAACTTAGAGGAAATCATAGCAAATACTTTCTTTGTTTTTAAATGCAAAAATGTTTAATTAAAGTCCTATGCACCCTTGGCTTTCAAATACTCGGCTTGGAACGTTCCCAATGAAGGTAAATCAAAAGCGCTTTGAACGCATGAAATTTATAAAGTGTTGTTTTCAATTTTTTTTAACTATTTAAAGATTTTTGTTCAAAATGACTTTAATAATTCGTATAATATATGGAGTATTACACTTAAATACAATCTATCAAATTATAACCTTACAAAAAATATCAGTCATGTACAGAGCCATCCTCATATACTTTATTTAAAGTTTCGTCGAGAATGGACAACTAGAAAATACTTGTCACTTTGTGGTTCACATGGAAAATGCAGCCAAATTTGTAATGTGCACATGGAGTTTATCCTTTCGGACAGGTTCACCTTCCCTTTACTAATGATTTGTCCAGTTATGATAATATTATATTGCTCGGTGCTGTCTCATTGGCAGCAACTACTTGTAATAAGATCAGAATATAGCTACTTTCTAGTGTTATTTTTTAATTATCAGAGACTTCAGTAGATACAAGCAAGGACAATGAGAGATAGTTCGTAAATTAATTGAGAAATATACCGATGTGATCTTGTTTCACATAAACACTTCACATTGGTCGTAAACAGTTCATTTCACATTTGTGTATAATTATAAGCTTCGGTATAACTGAATCAGGTGGAGTTGGATAAAACACTTAAATATCCCGATCTTAACCGATATAGTCATGCATTTCACTTGAACACAATATATCGTTGAAAGGAGTTGATATATTTACAAAGACAACTGTTCACAAAAGGTTCCGTTTCATATGGTATAGACGCAATCTGGTCTTGCTAAATTTAAGCTTAAAATGGTGACTTGGATTTGTATAAGCCTAACTTGATTAATACAAATAACAGACAGAATATTTTATTATAGTGTCACATACCAATACAGAACAATATCATACATCATAATATAAGTATAGAAATACAAATAAAAATTTCAATCGAAGTTAAAATATCGGTATCCAGCCACAACTGACTTATGAGACACTTTCGCTTAAAGACTTATTCTAACATTCATTAAAAATGAATAAATAAAACTTTTACAATAAAAGAACATATTATACACAATATTTTCTGCGATTAAACATAAAATATAAAGATTTTGCTAAAAAGGGTTGTATACAGTCATGTGACATCAAAAAAAAAAAAATAACATCATAGCTGTCAATTAAATTAATCAATAGTGTAAATTACAATTATGTTACATTTAGTGTAGTACTAAATGTCACACGATCATATTCCATATTTTGTAAAGCATAGCAAGAAGAGTTAAAACGATTTAGATTTGAAATGAAAAAAAAAATAACCTCAGAAACATCAGGAGCAATTTGGGGTTAATTTCCTAAATTTCGTTCTTGTATTGTCCTTTGACATGAAATTCAATTTCTAATTTCCCTCACAACAGATAGCTTTCAGACAAGCTAAATGTACATAATGTTGTACTTTGAAAAAGCAGATCTGTCAACACGCAGATTTAAAAGTCTCCTATTTTACAAGACATTGATTACACCATCCCCTTAGTTAATCATTACATGACCTCGATGCTTACCGCGGCTGATTTTTTTTATGCAATTTGAAGTCCAACCAGTTTAACTTATTCATACAGATAATCATGGTTTTTCTCCATATAAGAAGCAGTTAACCGATTGGGTTTCATTTGAGATGTGGTTATCTATGTGAAGCAGTGACCGACTGGACAGCAAATATGTGAATTTGAGTGGTTTTTCGTTCTTATAGAAATGCAGACCAGAAGATAATACACAAATTACTTTACAATCACTTAGAGGTATGTTAATGTAAAAAGAAACTAGATCTAAATATATAGTGGATTGAAACATCTTTTGAAAAGGATGCTTACACATGCATTTCAACAAACATTTCAGCGAAAGCTATGTACTCAAGTTAAAGTACAGTATAGTGTTGACAAATCTTACCCGTCCATTTTCGTACAATTCACGTTATTTACGAATTACTCTTACACGTGTTTTAGATGTTCTGCAGACCGTTTGATGTAAATATATCTATATACAGACCGTTTGATATAAATATATCTATTCACAGACTGTTTGATATAAATATATCTATTCACAGACCGTTTGATGCAAATATATCTATTCACAGACCGTTTGATATAAATATATCTATTCACAGACCGTTTGATGTAAATATATCTATTCACAGACCGTTTGATATAAATATATCTATTCAACTATTTTTTTCTTTGCTGAAAAAGTATGACTTTTAAAAAAGAAGGTGCCATGAGGGCTACCAAAAACAACCACGTGGAAGAAAGAAAAAAAACATCTGGAATAAAAGAAAAAAGAACAAACAATTGACTTCAAAACACGACACAGAAAACTATAGATTGGGCAGCATGAATACCACAAAAAAAAACGGTGATGAATTCTGAATGGTAACCAGTTCCTGCTCCATTCGTGGCACCCGTCGTTCGTGTTACTCACGATGCATATTTGACCCTGCCATACTTTCTTTAATATATTATTGATTAACTTTGTATATGTTACAGGCTTTTTCTAAATCTAGGCATTTTGTAAAATGACTGATTTTTTTCCAGGCAATTTTCAAATGCCTAACCTTGATAGGCATTGTATAAAATGACTTAAAATACCTAGTCATATTGTAAAATGACTTAAAATACCTAGTCATATTGTAAAATGACTTAAAATACCTAGTCATATTGTAAAATGACTGACATTTTGAAACAAAATTCAACAAACTGCCTGTTAACTTTCAGGTTATTTGTAGAAAAAATATCATAGAGATACGTA